TTATATATTCTTGAAACTTTTAGTGAACGAATATTATGCTTATTAATTTTTTCATAGCATATTTTAGATATTGTAAATGTTATATATATGATGATTGTGTACGTATTATGTATATGTTGTTCAATATTGTAATTCTTGTATTTATATTATATTTTTTAGTTTGTTTGTAATAAATTATATAACTTAATAGTATGTTAATTTTATTTGTTTGAATTTCTAAGAGTGACTTTCACGAAAATCGAGATTGGATGTATAAAAGACTTGATAGTTCAGATTTTATAAATACAGATTGGGTTGACAAAGTAAGACAATTTATTGAGTTTTGTGAATCAAATCCAAAAATAGATAGATTGAACGGGCAGATGCGTTGTTCTTGTAAGATTTGTAAGAATTGATCGCTCTGGCAGGTGATTCTACATTTTTTTTGCATGTATACATGATTATAATATATTGTACTGTTGTAAATATAATATCATGCAGTGTCGTCATCACGGAGGAGGGAGCTCGATAATTTGTTCCACATTTCAGCGGAGGCTCGATCCAACAGGGGTAGTTGGAAGAGACTAAGCGACGCGACAATGAACTTTTACTGGATAGAGTTTCAGAAAAATCGTCGTGGCAATGACGAGAGTGCCTCTGCTAGCGCCACGCACACCGGTGGTCCATTGTCTTTTCGCGAGTCTCAAGCGAGCCTTGTAGGTACTATTAGTAACAAAAATTACATTAAAATGTTCTAAGTGGCGTTAAACGTGGCGACGGAAAAATTCCGTCGCTAAAACCGTCGCCATTTTCCGTCGCCAATTCCGTCGTTGCCTGGCGACGGAACTCAAAAACCGTCGCTAACTTTGATACTAACGAAAAAATAACGACGGAAAAAAACCATCGTTAATTCCGTCGTTAAACCGATTACCTACGGAAATAAGCCTTTGGCGACGGAATTTTTCCGTCGCGATTTTAGCAGTTTTTTGTAGTGTTATAAAAAGTATTTTCTTATTAGTTTGCTTATATTATTGAGTTGATTCTTACTTGCATTTGAAATGCTTCCCATATATATAATCTTGTATTTTTTATTATTCTTAAGTAAATATATGTATTATTCTATTATTATTCCAACAAAATGCACTACTTAATTGTTAAAATATATTTTCATTTTATATGCTTATAACTACAAATTGGAGCTTTTTGTTGGATTCATATGATCTATAGTGAGTTGGATTTGATACCCACTTCATGGCGTCGGGCTCAAATTCAGCATCTTTGATGATATGGTATCTGCAACTATAAATTTGAGCTTTTAATGGATTTCATTTATGAGTCACGAGTTCAAACATCAGTAGTGTTGGGCGGTGCTCCTTGGACCACACGGCAAGAAGGAGAGCAAATCCCATTCTAAGTGGGATTGCTCTTGATTTGTTTCCTTGTTCATATTTAGTGATTTGTTTCCTTGTAGGAATAGAATTCCTTTTGTGTTTTGGTCTTTATCCTCTCCTATAAATAAAGGAGAAACTCCTTGTACTTAGCAGAACAATTCAATATACAGAATATTTTCCCTCTTATTATTTTCTTCA